CAACATGGATGGGACTGGAGGAGATTATGTTAAGTGAAATAAGTCAAACAGGGAAAGTCAATTATCATATGGTTTCATTTATTTGTGGAACATAAGGAATAGCATGGAGGACATTAGGAGAAGGAAGGGAAAAATGAAGGGGGGGAAATCGGAGGGGGAGATGAACCATGGGAGACGATGGACTCTGAGAAACAAACTGAGGGTTTTAGAGGGGAAGGGAGTGGGGGGATGGGTTAGCCTGGTGATGGGTATTAAGGAGGGCACGTATTGCATGGAACACTGGGTGTTATACGCAAACAATGAATCATGGAACACTACATCAAAAAAACTAATGATATACTGTATGGGGACTAACATAACATAATAAATAAAATTAAAAAAACATTTTAAATTAAAATATTTAGGGGCGCCTGGGTGGCTCACTTGGTTAAGCATCTGCCTTCAGCTGGGATTGTGTTCCCAGTGTCCTGGGATTGAGCCCTGCCTCCGGCTCTCTGCTCAGCGGGAGCCTGCTTCTCTTTCTCCCTGCCACTCCCCCTGCTTGTACTCTCTTTCTGTCAAATAAATAAATAAAGTCTTAAAAAAAAAAAGAAATAAAAAAACTAAAATATTTAATAAACATCATAGTCATCACTTCATTTCTTTTTTTTTCTTTTTTTTTTTGATGTAGTGTTCCATGATTCATTGTTGGAGTATAACACCCAGTGCTCCATGCAGAACGTGCCCTCTTTAATACCCATCACCAGGCTAACCCATCCTCCCATCACTTCATTTCTCTCTTATCCAGAAATTGTACTCTTAACAACATTCTTACCTTGAATTCAGAGTTACTGCCCTGAGGGGAAGTCTTGAGGGATTGATGGTGTAAAGGTATACTTTTCTATAGATTTGACTATTAAACAATTAGCCACTAAAGGATGTGGAGGCTAGTCTGGGTATACAATAGGAGTGTTCCTATTGCTTTTTTTCTTGGGTGGAGGGGTGAGCACAAAGATGGAGAGACCTCTATGACTGGGAAGCTGATTTTTTTTATAGGAAAGGAGAGGAAGGATGCTACTGATGATTTTTTTTTAATACTTAAGGTTTTGTTTCCTTTCATTTATGTCTTTAAAATTTTATTTTTTTTGGTCTGGATGAAACATTTTTATTTATTTGTCAGATACAATAACTGATTTCCATCTACAGTTATTTAAGGTAAGAAACCAAGGGTCAACTGAAGAAACAGTTGTGGCCTTACAGCAGAGCCTGCAGGGCCCAGCTGGGGGCTGTGGGGAGAACGGGCCTGGCATTAGTGGGCCTTCTCCAGGAAGGCTCTGCAGCACCTCATACACTGCTGGTAGACAGTCTCAAAGTCGGGCTCATTCCCATAATAGGGGTCTTCAATAATGAGCTGATTTTGTGGATCATAGCTCCCAAGTAGTTCAATTTTAGCTTTGTAGTTTTTAATTTGATTACTTTTTCTATTTAAGTCTCTCAGATTGCTTTCATCCATACATAGTATATAATGAAATGTGGCAAAGTCTTCCTTGGTAACCTGCTGGGCAGTGTGATTCATGGGGATACCATGCTTCTTCATGCAACTCTGCCCTAGATAATCAGGAGGGTTTCCTATTTCATATGTGGATGTCGCTGCACTTTCTATCCTCCAATGATCTGAAAGCTTTTGCTCAGTTACAAGTTTTCTGAAAACTGCTTCTGCAATGGGTGATCGACAGATGTTACCCAGACACATGAAGAGCACAGACTTTGGCACCTGCTCAGCTATCTTCCCGCGCGCACACCCAGGCACCCACTGATCGCCTAAAAAAAATTTTTTTAAAAAACATTTTATTTATTTATTTGACAGAGAGAGAGCACACAAGCACGGGGAGCAATAGAGGGAGAGGGAGAAACAGACTCTCCGCTGAGCGGGGAGCCTGATGCTGGGCTCTATCCCAGGACCCTGAGATCACAACCTGAGCCGAAGGCAGATGCTT